TGAGTGTATAAGTGAAGTGTTGCATGTATTATGATTATTCTCCACAATCATTCTGCAAAATAATTGTTATTATCTCCATTTTATAGTGAGGAAACTGAGGCTCAGAAAGTTCTTGCTTGCCCAAACTCAAACTAGCTTGGAGGAGGAAAAACTTGATTTTAAGTCTTGTTCTCTCACATACAATAGCTTCCTGCTTCTCTCATTATTTTTACAAAAAATATTATGATCTACAATCCTATCTTATGAAATATGATTTACCATATGGTTTTGGAACTTTGCAATAACAGGAAAGAAAAACACCCAATGGAGATTATTAATTGAGCTTAATCATACCTTCAACAATGTCAGAAACATATGATGCCCCAAAAAGGAAGAAGCCCCCATCTGCAGGCTCCCAGGGATGGCTGCATATGTGTGGCTCCTTCTCCTGCCTGCACAGAGCAACATCAACAAAGCAAATTGGTATTTCTAGACCACCAGAAAAGTGGATGGCCGTTGTTCAACTTCTTCGCCAAAGAAAAGTTTTAAAAACCTGATATTTCACTTGTTTATACAAGAATGATATATAAACATGTAATTATAGTTTGCTTTAATCAACTATGTTCCAAAATATCTGAAATTTCCCATTGTGGTGTTTTTTTGTTTGTTTGTTTTGTGTTGTTTTGTTTTTGAGACAGGGTCTCACTTTGTCACCCAGGCTGGAGTACAATGGCGTGATCTTGGCTCACGGCAGCCCCGATCCCCCAGGCTCAAATGATATATATATATGTGTGTGTGTGTGTGTGTGTGTGTGTGTGTGTATGTATGTATGTATGTGTGTATATATGTGTATATATGTATATATATGTATATGTGTGTATATATATGTATATATATGTTTCGCCATATTGCCCAGGCTAGTCTTGAACTCCTGAGCTCATGTGATCCTCCTGCCTCAGCCTCCCAAACTGCTGGGATTACAGGCAAGAGCCACTGCAGCTGGTCTTTCCATTGTGTTTTTATCAAAAAGTAGAAATTATCTGTAGTCACACACCACGGGAATAGGCATGCTTTGCCCTGGGGAATGGGCCTCCCGGTGGGTTCTTAAACCTGGAGAAAAAGGAGTGGATTTATTGATCCAGCCCAGTTATGCTACTTCCTTGCTCTATGCACTTGGGCATATGCCATTCAGCTTCAGTTTCTTCATCTGTAAAATGGAGAAACTCTATCTCCTTGGGCTATGCTGCTCCCTTCATTGGCAACTCTTTCCATTTTAACGGAGACCCTAAGAGAGGGAAAGTGGCAAAAGGAAGGATATGGCTCTTCACGTACTGAGCCTTCCACACAATCAGAGCTCAGCAAAAGGGAGCTGCTACAGTCACAGCTGCATCTGCCCCTGACTATCTTCCTTGATTTTGGTATGCTTACCGAGTATGTCCTTCATTCTACTTTATGCACTCGGGCTTCACGGTGTTCTTTTTCCTGATTTCTAGTCTCTCTGAAATAGTATATGGCATGTACTGTCTGAGCCCCTAAGAGGCTTAGTGCTGTGGGCAGCCAACCGCAGTGATGGAAGGGCTGATAGATGACAATGGCGCTGTACTTGAAGACAGCCCATGATGGTGTGCAGAGCTGGGAAGATGGCAGAGAGAAGTCCTGAGAGTAGGTAGGAAGTGGGTGCAGCAAGACTGGAGTGTAGTTTCCTAGCTCAGAGGGGAACACATGATCCCAAGTCTGGGAGAGTCATGAGCTGTGGGGAAGATGAAGGAAAATGAATATTCCAGCCATGAAGGCCAGTGCAGAGAATGCAGAGACAGACAACCCGCTATAGCCTGCAAAGCCGTCTTAGCTCCATCAACTACGCTAAAAGCATAAAGAACAACTTGCATTTTGTATGTTCATTTTTTTTTCTAAGAAACATGATATAATTGTATACCAAAATTTTTCACAGAATCCATAGTCCCTCTTTCTCTAATGTTTGCAGTGATTAGAATTCATAGACAATTCACCGTCTATTTTTGCTTTTCTTCCAAAGCTTTTTTGATTGACTCCACAGGCTTTTGGAGAAAGGATTTCTATAGGAAACATTTTGAAGGGAGGTAAAGAATGCAAGACACAGTGGGGAGTTCAATAAGTGTTTTATAGATTTGAGAAGTCAACCTTTCTAAACATGCTGGCCACAGTAACAGCTGCATTATTAACAGAAGACTAGAGAAGGAAAATAGAAGGTACAGGGGCTATGAAGTCAGCACTGCTGGATTCCAACCATACCTGGGGTATTATTGGCTGAACACTTTCAGCAAGAGTCTTACCTTTTTGTGTTGTAGGGTGAGATGGCATTCATAATACCCAGGATGGTTATATGTGGTTAAGGGTAACTCATTGGTGAGATACATGGCAAATATCTTTTCCATCCCTGTTTATAACATTCCAGTTATCTATTGCTGAGTAACATGACATCCTAATATTTAGTGGCATACAGCAACAACTTACTACTATCTCTTACAGTTCTCTGGGTTGATTGAATTCATTTAGGTATTCTTACTTGTTATTTCCTGCCATGTAGTCAGATGGCTGGAGTTACAGGAAGATTTGAATGGATTAGGTATCCAAGATGACAACTTTAGCCCCCTGTCTGGCACCTCACTTGGAAGGCTGAAAGAGCTGGAAATGGATTGACACATCTCTCTCCGTCCACACAGCTTCTCCACCTGGTTGTCTGGAGCTTGCTCATAGCACAGTTATATCAAGTATTTGAACTTTTGACATGGCAGTCAACTTCTCCTACAGCAAGCGTTCAAAAAGCACAAGATAAGCTACAGGGTTTCTGTATTAGTCTGCTTACGCTGCTATAACAAAATATCACAGATGGGGTGGTTTAAACCATAGATCTTAATTTTTCAAAGTCCTGGAAACCAGTAGGTTCGGTTCCTGGTGAGGATCTTCTTCATGGCTTGCAGACAACAGTCCTCTCACCGTGTCTTCACATGGCAGAAACAAAGAGAGAGCTCTGCTTTCTTTTCCTTTTCTTAGAAGAACAATCCCTCATGACATCATCTAAACCTAATTACCTCCCATAGGCCCCACCTCTGAATACTATCACATTGTGGGTTAGTGCTTTAACATGTGAATTTTGGCGAACAAAAACATTCAGCCCATAACATTCTACTGCTGATCCTGCAAAATTCATGTCCTTCTTGCATGCAAAATACATTCATTCTATACCAGCAACCTCCAACATCTTAACTTGATTCAGCATAAATTCTGAGGTCTAAAGTCCAAATTCTCATCTAAATAAGTATGAGTGAGACTCCGAATACTATTCATCGTGAGACACAATCAGTATGGATGAGATTCAAAGTGCTGTTCATCCTGGGGCAACATTTGTCTGCAGCTGTGAACCTATGAAATAAGATAAATTACGTGCTTCCAAAATACAGTGGTGGGACAGGTGTAGGATAGGCATTCCCTTTCTAAAAGGGAGAAATTGGAAAAAAGAAAGTAGTGATGGGTTCCAAGCAAGTTTATATAAAAAGGCAAATACCAGTGAATCTTAAGGCTCAATAGTAATTTTCTTTGGTTCAGTGCTTTGCCTTTTGGACCGACCAGGGTGGAAGCCCCTCTCTCATGGTTCACATGTGTCAGTTCTGCTGTTTCATTGTTATGCAGAGCCAGCTCATAGTCCCATAGAAGGAGACTGAACAAGGGCACGCCTATCACAGGGTCTGGGTTATTGTGGGGCAATTTTGGAGACTGGCTGCAGCATGTAACATGGTTGACAAGCAGGGTCCTTCCTCATTTGTTATGCATTGTGTGAACTGCTGCATGTAGCATTTCCTCCAAGACTCCCTGTGCCTCCGGGAATAACTCCAGTGTTACTCTGTCCTGACATTTGGATAAATAGCACACAAGAAGACAGCTTTATTGTTCATCTTGCTACAGTCACCAAAACCAGGCTCTATGAAAAAATTTTAGTAGATCTAAGGTCCATTCACAACCCTTCACTAAAAAGGGCTTTTGCTTGCTTGTCTGTTGTTTTGGAGAAGGCTTTGTGTAGGATTATTAGATGGAAGCAATATCAGACAAGGAAAGAAATTTGGAAAGAAATGAAGTCAAGTCAAAGAAATAAGCTGTTTAAGCCCCTAATTCAGGCTGAGTTGATCCTAGAAGGTAGAAGCCTAGAGATGAAGGACATTCAAGAACTCCTTTATGCTGTTGTGTTAGTGAAGCTATGCCAGCTGGCACCTTTCTTGGTTCAGTGCCTCAGTTTTTAAAGATGACAGCTGTTTAGACACTCCATATTCGTTTCTTTATTCACTCAACAAATATGCATTGAACAGATGCTCTGGGCTAGGAAATGTGTTAGACATTTTGGGAGATATGAAGATGAATCAGACCAGAATCCAAGCAGAACACAGCCCCCACACAGAAAGTCTAAAATGTGGTGTTGTGGGTGGGGGAAATGCAATCTTGAAAAGAGTTGCAACCCTGTCAGCCCAGTGCTCTGGTCTGCTGGAGTGGGGATAGCATCTCCTATAACCACCACCGCTATTGCTACTCTTCGTCTTTGAGCCTGTTGTTCATGAGGATCTGTCAACACCAGAACAGTGCTTCTTACTTTAGGAAGGAAGACATTGCTTTGGCTTTGGAACATAGGTTCTATCAGAAATGGGCTCTAAGTATTCATACCTTCCCCCATCAGCTTGTTCTTCATGCAAGAGCAAATGTATGTGAATTACACGGCACGTTATAAGAAGTTGTATGTAGAATTGCTTTATCATTGTCATCATAGTACCAAATGCATGTATGGTTAATCACACTATCCAATGGTATTTATAAATCCATGATAAGTTTTTCCCACTTTTCACATAATTTTAGTAATTGGTTTATCTCTCTCTTTGCACACCTGGATTGTCATCTTCTAAGAGAAAAGTCTGTCATATGCAACTGTGTATAATATTGTATCACTTTGTCAATTCATGCCACCACTAGGTTACTAATGATCCTTTCACTTTTTGCAGAAATCACTGTGTTTTCGGCTCAGCGGCCCTGTGACATTCCTTCCTGTTGTCCTTTGTTGAGTGACCAATCAGATGGGTGGAGTGTGTTACAGAAATTGGCAGCAAGTGTCCAATGGGTGAAGAAGGTAAGCTGGACTAACATTACTGAACAATTCACATGTTACTATGTATGTCAAGATGGAGATTATGTCTGTCTCTCAAATGTGGCTTGATTTGGAACTTCACTAAAGCTGAAAGTAGAATCTGAGAGGGAGAGAAAGGCCTACCTTTTTCAGTAGTGAGGAATGTGATTATTCAGTGTTAATGTTATTGGATTCTCTTTATTGAGCACCTATTATGTGCTAGTAGTGGTAAGATCTGGAGAAGAAAGAAGGAACTAAAGGGATTATAATTCTTTAGCAAGGACTCGGCTAAACAGGCCAACTGAGATGATTGCCATGTTGCTTTTTTTCTCCTTTTCTTTTGAAAATAAGTCTTAAGATGGGAACAAATTAGCTTATATTCCACAAGGAAATGAGATTGCTAGGAGGCTGAACCTTTTAGACTTCAAATGACAGGGCCCTCGATCATGAGCCAGGAGGCCTGGTTTCTACTCCCAGATCCAGCTCTGCCATTCACTGTCTGGGCTATGAGATTAATGAGCCATTTACTGGGCTGCCAGAGTGGCTGGACCTAGGATTTCTAACAGTTCTTCCATTTTAGGATTCTGTGAATCCATTTACCTTCTCCATCTGCTTGGTGATAACTGGAGCAATATTCATAGGAGACATCTAAATATCCAGATAGAAATTTAAGAATTAATTCTACCAGCGTGACTTTCCACTCTTGGGGAATCTAGACCTCCTTATCCAAGTGCCTACGACTCATCTCCATGTGGATGTCCAGTGGTGCCTTAAACATGTATGTTAAATCCAGGTTTTTCCTGGGCCCCACATTCCTGTAATAGTATCAAAATTCACCCAGAGTAGAAACACGGGCAGAATACTTTAAGCCTCTCAACCCCTCACCCCCAATAGCAGTTAATTCCTCCTGATTCCTATTCATTCTATTCTTTGTCTATCTCTGAAGTAGTTTTGTTTCTCGCTATCCCTATTGCCACTGTTCAAATGCAAGTCAAACTCTTTTTCTCCAATGTTACTGAAATTGTCACCTAATAAGTCTTTTTGCCTCCAGGGTTATTTCTCCCTCATCAGCTCCAATGTGATCCATGATCTATATATATCCTGAACAATGTTCTTAAATTCTCACATTATGTTACTTTCCCACTTATTCCCTTTCGATGATAGAAATAAGCTTTTCTTAACAAGTTTCTAGGATCCTTTAATGAGAAGGGCCACTGTTTTGCTGTCCAGATTCATCTCTCAGCTGCTATTCCCTCTCCACCTTGCCTGTATTATATACATCCACTCTAGGACCTCCTCATGGGGCACAGCCATTATTTCCCCAAAACCTCATAATCTCTCTCACCTCATAAGCACTCTTAACACATTTTATATCTTAGCTTGGACTTCACTATCGCTAAGGAGCTATTTCTAATAGGCTAAGATTACCTAGACAATACTTTAGCAGCCAGGGATTACGCCATTTACAGTGATTTCTACATTGGACTGTAATTGTCTATTTAGTTGTCTGTCTTCCCAGCTAGACCTGGAGATTTTTGAGGACAGTACTTATTTGGGACCACTGTGCTCCCAGTTGCAAGTACTGTGTATCTGGGCCAAAGTATGCACTTAGTAAGTATTTATTAAGCAAATGAATAGGGGCCCTCGGTATATTTTTAATTAAATGTGAGGAAGGTGGACTATGGTGACTACTCAGGGAAAAGTCATAATAACAGCAGCTAACAGGTTTTGCATGCTTACTATATGTCAGGTTCCTAAGGATGTTAAAGGTATGACTCCCCTTAATCCTTCCAAAAGCCTTATGTGGTAGGTATTATTAATGTCAAATGTTTTATAAATGAGAAAACTCAATCTTGAAGAATGTATTAGTCTGTTTACACACTGCCATAAAGAACTTCCCTGAGACTGGTGATTTATAAATGAAAGTGGTTTAATTGACTCACAGTTCTGCATGGCTGGGGAGGCCTTAGGAAACTTAGAATCATGGCGGAAGGAGAGGTAAGCATCTTCTTCACAAGGTGGCAGGAGAAGAGAAGCACGTGTGAAGGGAGGAGAGCTCCTTATAAAACTGTCAGATCTTGTGAGAACTCACTCAGTATCACAAGAACAGCACGGAGGAAACTGCCTCATGATCCAATCACCTCCCTCCCTCCACACTTCAGAATTACAGGTTCCTCCTGCGACACATGGAAATGACAAACTGAGGTGAGATTTGGGTGGCGGCACAGAGCCAAAGCATATCAGGGAAGATAAATAACTTGTCTATGGCCATAGTGCTGTAACTTTTATCCTTGGAATTTGTATTTATGGGAAGTCTAACTTTAGCTAAGTTTGTGTCTTTTACCACTCTCCTTGTCTGCCTTTCTCCTGAATGAATCTCCCATATTTTGGGCAAAAACCATTATCTCCACATAAGGCCAGGGGCTTTTCTTGCGGCCCACACAAGCTGTTGTTAAATAGATGGTAGTCCTCTGTGGCAGGGAGCTCTAAATTTCTGATAATTTCTCAGGTATTTTACACTGTTGTGTTAATGTGGGCCTGTTTTGGGAAAAAATTTCAGTGTGAGGAGTCCCCACCTCTTTCTCTCATGATCTGGTCAATATCTGTTAAGGGAATAAACCAATGAATGAGAACACTTATCCTAGAGGCAAAATGGCACTTCCCTACAAACGCACCAGAATGATTTGGAAATTGTATAACTGACTTCTCTGGCATTTGCTTATTTTGCACTCATTTGCTCTGAAGCCTGGCTCAGCAGAGGACGTGCATCCCTCCTGTGGGTATGTCTGTGAATGATGATTATCTCATTTCTGCTGAGCCAAATGGGCCTCTTCATTTCATCGGCCCTTTGCATTCCTCAAGAAGATGTGCAAGTGACATTTTCTATTTTTCTAGATAATAGGGGCAATTAGAATGATGTATCCATGAATCAGAGTCGGAAGGTAAATAGAAAGTACTTGAATTTAATTTCATGTCTAGGAAATCTGTTAGTTTTTTTTTTTAACCTGGAAATTAAGAACAGTCTATTTTGAATAGTTCTGCAAAGCTTTTATTCCAAAGAGAGGAAGGTAAATTACTCCAATGCTGGTGGCATGAAACCTTCAAAAAACAAAACAAAACATAAAACAGCAGGAATGCAACTGGAACAATCCTTTGATTTTTCAGGATAAGCTTCTTCTTGATGGAAGAGAATTCTGTGCCTGGTGGAGGAAAGGACTTGTTCTTGATCACACTGTAAGGATTTTGAAGAACAAAACTAACCAATGACTTAGGTGAGACTCAGATTCTTGATTCCCAATCAGGTCAAGATGCCAGGGTTTCTTGAACAGGCACCTATGACATGCCACAAACGCAGGCAGAGATGAAAGGGCACTTCCTCTTTCCTCAAGGAGTTTACAGTCAGGTAACTACATATGGCAGTCAAAATCCAAGTGGGAAGGAAAGACAGAGAGAGACTTCAAACAAATGTGGCATGGGTTCACAGGATCAACACTCTAGTTAACTTACAGTGAAATCCACTGGAGCTTGAGCTTCCATTTCTAGCACACGTGTCTTACTTAAGAACCTTCTCGGAACAGAGGAGGAATTATCCGGGCAGCTACAAGATAAGGCTTCTAAGCCCTGTGACCTTGCTGGGTTTTCAGTAGAGCACAGGGGCCTAGAAATTAACATCATGGAGAAGTGGAAGAGATTTGCCCTTTGCTCAAGAGAAGTGTACACACATTGGCATCCTGCTGAGTAATAACCAGCAGGAATTGCTGGTCTCAGGTCACCCAATTATCTTTCATTTGCATAGGAATGAATCCCAGAAAGCTGCTTCGGGGGCAACTCACCTGTGCTGCAGAACGCACCGGGCTCTGCATTGTCCCTGACAGCTTGAAGTGTTAGCAGTCTGCTTCCTAACCCCCTGTGCTGCTGGTTCTGTCTGTGAATGCATATTTCCTATTTTGGGATGTAGGCCACTGTGGACAAGGAGGCCAAGTATGTGTCTCTATCTGGTGTCATCAGAATCATAAACAGACACTTAGGTCACTTGTTGCCTACACATTGCAGCTCTTCAGTGTGTACAATGTGACTGTCGTCACCACAATCAACTAATGATTACATGAAGCCCTTATGTGGTAGGCCACCTGAACATCCAGTCCGTGCACAAAATCATTACTAAAGGAAAAACCTCAACTAAAGTTATGGTTCTTTGTCTTGCTTTATTTAGCTAGTGATGGGCAAAGTGGTCAATGACTTTGAATTTTCTGAGCATGCCCTTGTACCAGACACTGTGCTATGTGCTTTACATTTATTATCTTGTTTGACGTCACCAAGACTTTGGCTGCTATGTGCAGGGGTCATGATTCTTTCATGGATGAGGATACTGAGGTTTAGAGAGGTTAAAAAACTTGCTGAGGACCCCTGATGAGCAAGGGGTAGAGACAGGGTCTCCACTCTAAGCACAGCAGTGTAGTGCCTCCTATTGATCAATGTCTCTTCCAATTCTTTTGTACCTTGACTTACAGTCTTAACCAAGCTGGGATGGGAGGGAGTTGGAGGGCAATTACTATTAGTTATTTTGGTATGGCAATGTCCTAAATCTCTACTTGAGGTTTTTTTTTTTTTTTTTTCCCCCAATAATAGATTCGGGGATACATGTACATGTTGGTTGTATGGGCATTTTGCATAATGATGAGGTTTGGGCTTCTAGTACACCCATCACCAAATTAATGAACATTATACCCAATAAGTAATTTTTCAGCCCTCCTCCTCCGTTTTTGGAGTCCCCAGTGTCTATTATTGCCATCTTTATATCTATGTGTACCCCCTATTTAGTTCCCACTCATAACTAAGGATATGTAGTATTGGATTTTGTGTTTATGAGTTTTTTCACTTAGGATAATAGCCTCCAGCTTCATCTATGTTGCTGCAAAAGACATGGTTTCATTCTTTTTTTATGACCGTGTAGTATTCTTTGTGGCTGTGTAGTATTTCATAATATACTATACAGCCATAAAAAAGAACATAGTGTGTGTGTGTATATGTGTGTGTGTATGTATATTCTACATATATATGTGTGTATAGAGGATGTATGGGTGTACAGATACACATATATACACACATAAATACATATATGTCTATATAGACATATATACACACATGTATACATATATGCACACATGTGTATGTGTGTCTATGTATATATGTGTATATATGCACATGCATACATTCTATACACACATATATGTGGAATATATACACACACGTATACACACATGCATTCTTTATGTGTATATATGTATATACATACACATGTGCATATATGTACGCATATGTACATATATGTGTGTATATATGCACATATATGTATATATACATGCGTGTATATATGCACATACATAAACATACATATATACCACATTTACGCACACATGTATGTATATATACACACATACATACATTTTATGCACACATATATGTATATATACACACACATACACACATATATATACACACATACGTACACCACATTTTCTTCATCCTGTCATTTTTTGATGGGCACTGAGGTTGATTCCATGACTTTGCTATTGTGAATAGTGTTGTAATAGATGCATGAGTGCAGGTTCTTTTTTGATATAATGATTTCTTTTCCCTTAAGTAGATACCCAGTAGTGGGATTGCTGGGCTGAAAGGTAGCTCTATTTTCAATTCTTTGCGAAATCTCCACACTGTTCTCATGGAGGTTGTATTAATCTGCATTCATACTAACAGTGTATACGCATTCCCCTTTCTTCACATTCTAGTCTCCACTTGAGTTTTAAAGGAGACTTAGTTGGTTCTGGCTAATGCAGCAGGATGCGACTGAATGTATCCAGTGAGTGAGGGGCAAAAATGGCAAGAGGAGAAAAGACTCTGGATGTGTTCACTCATCAGTCATCTTGAGAACCATCCCTACGTTAGGCCTTGGACTAGGTGCTGGTGATACAATAATAAATCATGTGTATCAATACAACAATGAAACTGTACCATTGCTTCCAAAGAACCCCTCTTCTTGTGATGGAGCCAGGCTGACAAACAAATAATCATGGTACAGAGCTCCTTTTAGACAGCTCCCTGGATCTGTGAGAACACAGAGGGGCTGACTTCGCTGGAGGAAATCAGGCGGAGCCTCAGTGAGGAGGTGACCTCTGGGTTTAGACTTGATCATGAGTAGGAATTTATCTGGAGAAGACCAGGAAGGATTTTCCAGGCAAAGGGAACAGTACAGCAGTTGTTATGTCAGTATTTGTCATTACTAGGTGGGATGTCTCATGACATATTTGTTTTCATTTTTACGTATCCTTAGATAGATACATTTAAATAGTTAAGATGGTTAAAATAGATAAAGATGGTTAAAATTTATAAAGTGAGGCCGGGCCTGGTGGCTCACGCCTGTAATCCCATCACTTAGGGAGGCCAAGACGGGCGGATCACAAGGTCAAGAGATCAAGACAATCCTGGCCAACATGGTGAAATCCCATCTCTACTAAAAATATAAAAATTAGCTGAGCATGGTGGTACACACCTGTAGTCCCAGCTATTTGAGAGGCTGGGGCAGAAGAATCTCTTGAACCCAGGAGGCAGAGGTTGCAGTGAGCTGAGATAGCACCACCGCACTCCAGTCTGGTGACAGAGCAAGACTCCATCTCTAAATAAATAAATAAACAAATAAATAAAAGGTGAAAGAGAGTCTACAGAGAATTAAGTCTTCTTCAATTCCTATACTCTAGGCCTTCAATTTCATTCCCTGGAAGCCACTATTGTCAGTTTTCTGTGTGACTTCCAGACAGTTTCTGGGCAGTTACAAACACACACATCCATATAGCTACTTCCTCCCACATTTGTATACATAGATCACACCCAGCTGTAAACACTGTTTTATACTTTGATTTATTTATTTTATTTTATTTATTTTTTTGAGACAGAGTCTCACTTTGTCACCCAGGTTGGAGTGCAGTGGTGCAATCTTGGCTCACTGTAACTTCTGTCTCTGAGGTTCAAATGATTTTCATGCCTCAGCCTCCAGAGTAACTGGGACTATAGGCATGTGCCACCACAGCTGGTTAATTTTCTGTATTGTTGGTAGAGATGGGGTTTCGCTACATCGGCCAGGCTGGTCTTGAGCTGCTGGCCTCAAGTGATCTGCCAGCCTCGCCTCCCAAAGTGCTGGAATTACAAGCCTAAGTCACTGCGCCAGCCGCCTTGATTTTAAAAGGAAAAATTTATTAAGTTTTTTCCTTTGTTTCACCTGCACTCATTTGATTTAAAACCTTTTAATTTTAAGTTTTAAAACTATCCAAATCTACAGAAAAGTTGCCCAAATAACACAGTAAATTCCTATGAACACTTCATCTGGAGACACTGAATTTTAAAAAATCATTTTGCCATGTTCTATGCAATGATTTTATGAATTTAATCCCTAATCAAGGTACAGCTTGGATGTCAGTTACCTGGAGACCGGAATGCAGTTCCTCTCCCCAGCACTGATTTAGTGAGATAACGTAAGATGTTCTCGAAATCGATAATGTGTTCCTCTCATTGTCAGTTTCCCTGAGATGCCCACAAGCAGCAAATCCACCCCCAGGATGGGGATCCATCCCTAGGATGGAGATGCCCCTCTTTGGGCCACTTGATCTTTGGGAAAGGATTTTTTCTGCCTCCTCAAGTGCTCAGCAAGTGCTTCTTGGGTAGGCGAGCGTGCTCTCTGCACTTGCCTTCGGGCCCTGTGGTCCAGGATGGTAACAGGCAATCCAGTTGAAATCTAATCACTTCACTTCCGACAACCAGCCATATAGACAGCATTATCTCTTCTGTTCAGCTTGTCAGAGTCAACACAACATCTCAAAGGCTGGTGTAGGATTCTCTCCTTTGAAAGATCAAAGCACCTGAGCATTGCTCAGGTTACCTGTGCATTTCCTCCCTGCGTTACATGGCAAGGGATAGTCTGTACTCAAAGTGAGAGGGACTTTGAACAGTATGACAAGCAGGAAGTAACTTAGTAAGGCAGTGTCTTATTATTTTGTAGTCATGTGCCCTAGGCTTAAGAGGATTGTTTTCTGGTATTCATTCATTCATTCACTAACTCATCAAATAATTCCTGAAAGCCTCCTTGGTACTCTTTTATGCTCTAGGCCAAGACGTGTGCATGTTGCTTGCAGACTGGGTCCCTAGGATCTACTGGGTGACAGACAAATAGTCTCAGTCAAAGAAAGCAATTGAACGTGAGAGTGGTGGTGTGGAATCTCCA